AAGAGTGTCTTTTTAAATGATGGGAAGAAACAAGGCTTTAAGATGAATGTAAGTGGATGGGAATCCCAGCTTTCACTCCTGCCTGCATTTTGCTAGTTCCTCAAATGGGATTTCTGCCACATCAATACTTCCCCCGTAGCTTCTTGAAATAGGCAAGAAACATGAAGTTTATCAGTTTTAAACTGCCATTAGGAAAGCCCTGCACTACAGGAGCATGGAAACAACTGTACCAAGTGTTAATCCTTCTCTTGCTGTATTTGTATCTACACGCTCTTGCCTGTAGTGGAATACCTGGAATAAAGTAGATGGGGATGATAGCAATGAAGTGCTGGCGGACTTCAGGGTTTAGAATTCCATTTTCCCCACAACCCCTTATTACAGTTTTTGTAATATTCCTCCCTCCCACCAATATTTAAACAGCATAATAGGTGAGATCTCCCCTGTCAGATTTACATAAAAGCTGTAAGTTTCTAATGTAGGATAGTAGTATGATTATAATAGTACATCTCTTCTTACTCATAATTTCTCTCACTGATCTTCTGTTTTTCTACCTCTATTTTGCTTTTAGTCTGTCTGTACTGTGCACTTTGCCATCTTTTCATCCTTTTGTGTTGATGTCTCTTTCCTTTTGTGCCTCTGTAATTGTTTTTCTCTGAAGTGGGTTTTACCCACAAAAGCTCGGGATTTTTTTTATACATACACTCTGTGTGTGTGTGTGTGGTGTGTGTGTATACATACTGTATATAGTCTCTAAGGTGCCACAGGACTACTCCTTTTTTTTCCCCCTTCTCTTTAATTATCCCTCATAAATTGTTTTTACTTTTGGGGAAGTCCTTGTAAATATGTTTGCCGGTATAAACAGTCAGTAGTTTGCTAAATATTCACTTCATGGTAGTTGAGTCCTGAGATTGTGAACTCCATGAATATACAGAATGTGAATGTCAAATATACATTCTCTACAAGATAAACCTTAAAACACTTGAACTGTCAATTTACAAAGCAATCAGAATCATTCTGATAAAGGGTCCAGAACAGATTAGACAGCCCTGTGATCCTAATGGAGAAACGGTGAACTTCTGCAGGTTTAATTTATTTATATTCAATGTGTTCTATATGACTTTCACAAATATTGCATTAAGGTGTGCAGAAAACAGAAATAAACAACATAAATGATTTATTACCTACTAAACTATAAAAAGCCTAGTGTTACCTGAGCAGTCTAGCTGTGGAATATTTATTTGAAGTCATGAGTTCACATGTAGCTGTCAAAACAAACAGAAAAGGGTGTGATCTCTATTAAATGACAGGGCTGTAAGGTGGAAGCAGTATGCATTTTGCTCTCTTGCTTTACCATCTACTTGTGAGTGACTTTGAGCAAATGGCAGAACTTCTGTATACCTCATCTTCTCTTGATGCAAAGTGAATGTCTCCAATCCAATGTTTGAAACACTTGAAATACTTTGTGTTTCTACATTTGACATAGAAGTTCAGAGTATTATTGTTATGCTTGTGAAAAATGGTAATAGTGCCATCAATATCAAAGGTTCTATGCCAGTTTACACCAGCTGAGGACTAGTTTACACGTGGCTTTTGTGCCAGGTTGGGAATTTGTTTAGAAATCAGTATAGTTACAATTATGTAATTGTTGTGAGTGAAGTTACAGCAGTTTACTGTGCTAATTCAGAAGATGCAAAAACTTGTACTTAATTATAGTTAAACTAGGGAGTAATATTAGAATAAGCATGGGCAACAATAATCCCCTTTCCTCTGCCTCTTTATCGCCCTCTAAAACCATGTAACCATGGGGTACATCATAGTTTTTTCCTGTCACTGAAGAATGTAATATGAACCTGCCCTAACTGGTTTTGTTCTATATTAAGAATACAGATTGGCAGAAAAATCAATAGTCCTATAAAATGTTTAATAGTACTCAGTGGTTATTGTTAGCATAAAGGAGGAATATTCTGGCTCATGGCTGAAAACAATCATGAGATGAATTTTAAGAGTTTTATTTTTGTTTGCCATCAGTGGTCACCAATCCTGAGATCTGGAACAAAGTTCAAGGAAGATTCTAGTGTTGCATATGTTTGTATCATAGCTTGTAAGGACAGACACATGTCTTAGAAGCTGGAGTTTGAGTGTGTGCCTCTTGACCTTCAGTGCATGACACGTATGTGACAACCAACCAAAATATGGAAACAGTTGGGTTTTGCTGCATAGAAGTGATAGCGATTTTGTTTGTTATAGAATCTGTATGTAAAAATACTTCCTCATCAGGTGAATTAAATACAGCAGTTTCTTAAAAAGAAAACTGGAAAGGCAAATTCTACCATTCTTTCAGAACTAGGGAGGATCCTGGTTGCACATTAGCAGAATTGAACTCCATCGCCATTTGGATCATCAGCACAGATGTCCTATTAGTTGAGTTAAAAAGTAACTTATCTTTTCTGAGGGGGATGTTGCAGTTTCTTGCCAGCTAATATCTAGACAGCAGTTGAATGTTGGAGAGGTCAGAAAATTTAGAGGTTTTTCCCCTGCCTGTTTGAAGGGAATGATAGTGGCTACAGCAGTGGTTTGTTTGAAAATCAATGAAACATGTACTCCTACTCCTTTGGGTGCTTTTGAAAAATAATAAAAATCTTATTTATTTGCTTCACACTTCATTGTAGCACTCAGCTTCACTCAATAGAAAAATATGTTTCTATTATTTTCCTTTTCCTCCCCTTTTTCCAATACTTTGTCTTTATATCTTCTTTCTCTCCTTGCATATTCCTTTCTTGCAGTAATTACCAATTTTTTTCAGTGCCACTCACTTTCCCATTCTGTCCATTAATCAGCAGTTAACACAAAGTATGAGCATTAACTATTTATCAGTCTTTAGAGAGAGCACCCCAATTACATTTGGCTCTTGTCTCCCATAATCTGTGTATACATTCAAATAGTGTTTAAAATCTCACCTGGTTCACTTTTTCATTCCAATTAGAAGATGAAGAGCCTGGCTCAAAGACGACAGTCTGCACCATCTCTGGTCCTCAGCAAAGCACTTAACAAGTCCAGAACCATCACCAGGTGAGTTGATGCATTCTGCTGATTGCACTTTTTTCATTTCCTGAGCCCAAATCTTAAGATGGTTTTTCATGAGCGTTTATCCATACCGGGCTAAATTATGTCTTCAGGGAAAGCCATATTAAGGAGTGGGAAGAGGTGCCCTCCACTACTTGCAATGTTAGCATATCTACTGTAAGGCATAATGCATCCAGAGATGCAAGGTGGCTCTTGCTACATTGCTACATCTTTTTAAAGGTATTTTCAGTTCTTCTCTTTCGCACAGTTATCCTGATGCTGGCTGATTTGCAAAGGGGGCAAGCATAGCTGCTCTCCAGGCCCACCCAGACCTGCCTCATATCAGCTCCATCAGGCAGCTTTAGTCAACCCCATTCCTTTTGCACTGGAAACCACATCTTGGCTGTTTGCTCTGGTGGTGAGATGGGCAGGGAAGGAAGGTGGACGATTCCCTCTTTCATTCTCTCCCCCGGTCCCTTCCAGTCAGAGTAGTCGTTGGGGTGTATGGGGCCTTACGCAGTACTATTAAACTGGTGCCCCTATGTCCAGTGGCAGATGGGGAAGGACAATTTCTTTAGAGATGCAAATATAAAATCTTCAGCAACTCAATAATGAAATATTTTAAAGCAAAATCTAAACTAAGGTCCTGTAGACTAAAACAGTAAATTCAGAAACTGGTAGAATATACCTGGGGTTGGCAAATACCTGTTAAATGGCTTCATTACCACTTAATGGCTCTTTCACAGATTCAGTATGCCACTAATAGCTCTGGCAGGCTTTTTCATTTTTAAGTTAACTACATCCTCTCCAGAGGAAGCAACTACCGAACAGGTATAAGAAGAGGCAGGTAGGGGGGCATTAAGACCCAGTGGTGCCCCCAAATTTTCAGATGCCTATGCAGCTAGTATTCTATATATGGGTAAAGACAGCATTTCTCCAATTACCCCTATGCAGTACTAAGTATAATTCAGCACAGGCTGTTGTTTAAACTAATTTCTGCAATACACTACTGTGTATAACACTTCTCTTGTGCTATGTCGGCATCTTGTTAAAATTCAGTAGACTTTAAACTTGTAAAGTGCCAATGTTTATGAACTAGTGAACTGTCAAAAAGAATGTTATTACTTCAAAGAACAAGGAGAACCTTACTGAGAAGCATAATTGAGGAAAACTGAAAGCACAACTGTGCAAAGAATCACTTTCTCCCACACTGTGCTGTGGAACTTAGGGAACTAATGTGTAGGCCTTGGAAATTTTGCTGTTTAATCTACTTAATACCTGCATCCATAGTTGTTGTCCAATGGAATTTGTAATGGGGTTTACTAGCCCCGCACTGGGTAAGCCATGCTTAACCAAGTACACCTGGCTGAGGAAGTCCTGCACCTGCAGACCTGCTGGGCATGCCTGTTCTACAGCCCAGGTATAAAGACTTGAAGAGAGATTCAGTCTGGGCTATTTGTTGAGAAGGAAGAAAGGTAGTGCCAGAGCTCCTGGAGGTGAACCACAACTGGAAACAGACTTGAAGACCAGCCAGTGAGACACCAGAGATACTGCTGAGGATCTGGAGGAAGGACCCTGATGGAGAATGGTAGAAAGTAGCCGAGGGCAGGAGATTGTATCTTAAGAAGTTCAGCATGTTGTAATGAATCCCTGCTGAGTGAGCAGCGAGCCATGCCATTACTAATGGGCTCCTGAGCTAGGACCTGGTAGAGTAGGGAGGGCCTGGGTCTCCCTCCCCCTCCTCAATCTCCAACCTGTGGGGCCTGCGCCCACTGCTACTGACTTTGGTTGCTAGCCTGCACCGTTCTAGCGAGAGGAGTGTTTGTTATTGACTTTGACGGCTAGGCCTCTCTGCCCCAACGTGGGGCACTTGTTATTAACTCCAGCCACTGGGCGCCACAGCCCTAGAAAGAGGGCCATAGGTTCAGACCAGCCATTAAGTTATGACACACACAGGTTAGGGCGTGATTTCAGGAACCCCAGATACTCAACAGCTCCCTAGAGACAAGTTCACTACTCTGCAACAGAATTCCAGACTTGAAAAATCTGAAAGGAATTCTGAGACAATATCAGAGCTGCTAAAAAGTACTAGAAGCTGCTGCACGTCTTTTTATTTGTATTGAATCAAAAGGGGAAACATAGAACAAAATTCTCTAAATGGTGTTTGCCACTTTGTGCAATCTAGTGGTTGAATGCAGGATTATGAACTAAAGTGTTATAATCCTGTCTCTGACACTTCCTCTGTGACCATGAGCAAGTCTCTTATTTGCTCTGCTTTAGTTTTCAAGTTACTTAACTAATGCCTTAATGAAGAAGGTATGACTTTAATGCTGTGGTAACTTATTTACTATTTTCTCACCATCTTAGCAACTACCATAACATTTGTGATTTCACAGAACACTTTTTATATGCAGAATTGAATTTCTCAAAGGAGGGAGGGTGTGCTTTTTGGTGTGCTTTTTCATATATATTAGGAGTGGTGGCATCTTAAAGGTGTGATTGGACACATAAGAATAGGCACCTACAATATTTAGTCTTCAGAGTTTTCCTCCACTTATTGTCATCTAGCTCAGCATCTGTCTGTCCCTGCAATGGCCAGGTGGAGCGCTACCATCCATGGTGTGCCCCGCATGGCTAGAGCAGTTCCCCATTCACATCCCTAATCTGCAGTTGCTGAGTCTCACCTCCTTGGAAGGGATAAACTAATAACGGTATGCTGCTTCCAATATGTAGAGAGCTATATAACAGTTAAGTATTCTATCCCGCTATTCTAATACCATGGGTATCATCCCCCCCTAAAGGTCAATTATTAGGAGCCATTTCTACCAACAAAGTGTTAACATTTTAGTTTCCTGTTCCGTTGAATTCACTGAGAGAACTTGCCATTACAAGTGTAATAGAAGCAGGCTTGTGTCCTTAGAAAAGAACATAAGGTGACCCTTTGGATCATCCAGCATTCTCATTTTTCACTGAGTTGATACATTCTATCTTCTGTTGCATAAATTGCATTCCTCTTTATCAATAAACTGAATGAGTTTGAATTTCCTGCTCTGCTTGTTGTGTAAATGTTTAACTCTTATGAAATATTCTCTTTTTAAGAGAGCTGAAGAAAAATGAAACAACTGTGTTTTGTAAGCTCCAAATATTTTCTCTAAGTTATTTTAGTACTTAGTTCCTTTTGTTGTAAGCAAAATACCTTATTTTCCTGGCAGTGATTCCCAATGCCAGTACTCTAATACACTGACTTGTTAATCGCTGATTAATGTCTTATACTCAGACTCAAGATCCCATGCAAAGTTAGCATACGTCTGTAAGGTATTTTATATGAATTGTCTCACTTAAAAAACTCGTTCACTCTCCATATTTGTTGGAATTAATGAGCAAGTGCAAATATCTTATAAGAACAGGAAATACATAGAAACATTAGTCAGTTTATATTTCAATATCAGTTTATATATCTCAAGTGTCCTTAGACTGCATACGGCACGCCTTAATAAAATGCAAGTGCAGGGAATATTTGCCTTCCAGCACTGCAAAGGTTATTCACAATATTTTTTTCTTAAACTATTCTGATCTCTGTAGATGGTAATCGGTGTTCCCTCTAAGCTGTGGGCAGCACAGATTCACAGTTGATTAATCATCCTCACCCAGTTAGAGGCTCAGGGCTTGGTGCATGGAGCTCACTGACTGAGCAGAGCTGATTAATCACCTATTTTTCATAGAATCATAGAATAATAGGACTGGAAGGGACCTCAAGAGGTCATCGAGTCCAGCCCCCCGCCCTCAAGGCAGGATCAAGCTCTGTCTACACCATCCCTGACAGATGTCTATCTAACCTGTTCTTAAATATCTCCAGAGAGGGAGATTCCACCACCTCCCTTGGCAATTTATTCCAATATTTGACCACCCTGACAGTTAGGAATTTTTTCCTAATGTCCAATCTAAACCTCCCCTGCTGCACTTTAAGCCCATTACTCCTTGTCCTGTCCTCAGAAACCAAGAGGAACAAATTTTCTCCTTCCTCCTTGTGACACCCTTTTAGATATTTGAAAACCGCTATCATGTCCCCCCTTAATCTTCTTTTTTCCAAACTAAACAAGCCCAGTTCATGAAGCCTGGCTTCATAGGTCATGTTCTCTAAACCTTTAATCATTCTTGTTGCTCTTCTCTGTACCCTTTCCAATTTCTCCACATCTTTCTTGAAATGTGGCGCCCAGAACTGGACACAGTACTCCAGCTGAGGCCTAACTAGTGCAGAGTAGAGCGGCAGAATGACTTCACGAGTTTTGCTTACAACACACCTGTTGATACAACCTAGAATCATATTTGCTTTTTTTGCAACAGCATCACACTGTTGACTCATATTCAACTTGTGGTCCACTATGACCCCTAGATCCCTTTCTGCCATGCTCCTTCCTAGACAGTCGCTTCCCATCTTGTATGTATGGAACTGATTGTTCCTTCCTAAGTGGAGCACTTTGCATTTCTCTTTATTAAACCTCATCCTGTTTACCTCTGACCATTTCTCTAACTTGCTAAGGTCATTTTGAATTATGTCCCTATCCTCCAAAGAAGTTGCAACCCCACCCAGTTTGGTATCATCTGCAAACTTAATAAGCGTACTCTCTATCCCAATATCTACATCATTGATGAAGATATTGAACAGTACGGGTCCCAAAACAGACCCTTGAGGAACTCCACTTGTTATCCCTTTCCAGCAGGATTTAGAACCGTTAACAACAACTCTCTGACTACGGTTATCCAGCCAATTATGCACCCACCTTATCGTGGCCCTATCTAAGTTATATTTGCCTAGTTTATCAATAAGAATATCATGCGAGACCGTATCAAATGCCTTACTAAAGTCTAGGTATATGACATCCACCGCTTCTCCCTTATCCACAAGGCTCGTTATCTTATCAAAGAAAGCTATCAGATTAGTTTGGCATGACTTGTTCTTCACAAACCCATGCTGGCTATTCCCTATCACTTTATTACCTTCCAAG